ACAATAGGGCTAAGAAAAACAGGCTATACTCTGAACTGAATTGATCTTGGTATGTTAGACAAGAATAGGAACAATTTCCACAAATGATGAGCTTTTTTCCTGCACGATTTTTTACTGGCAAACTGAAAGATACAACTGAATAGCCCAAAATGAAAGAAACAGTCACTTTCTAAAATTATATTTTATCTTCAGATTGTATCAAATTTAGCATTGCAGTTGAGCATCACAGGCAACTCTGTGTTCTTGTGGACTTTGGTTAGCTAAGAGCAAAGTGGTTCATGTTTTCCAGGTTACGGTATGTGGTGGTGGGGAAACAGTTTTCCCCCTGAAGTTATAAAATGGTAAAACCCCAGGGGGTGGTGACCCTTGAAGTTTTGAGGTTTTACCCAATGAGCGCTTCTGCAAAATATAAACATATCACAAGCAGAACAGAAGAAAAGGTTAGTTGTAGTAGTTGTAGAAGAAGTAGCCATGTTGTGAAGCCACAAGGAGAAACAGCAGGAGCCCCCACTGGGGGCTGGGGCCCCCAGCCCCTAGCAGGGGGGCTACAGAGACTTGGAACAGTGTTAAGCTGGACTATGTGTCTGTAGCTATGAGCTGGGGGATGTTTCTCCACTGTGAACCGCAGCAAGAAATACTGAAAAGAAGCGGCAGAGACAGCAGTGAACAGAGGCTATGGCTAAAAGCCAACAGATAAGAACTGAACCAGAGAAGCAGCAGCAAACAGCATGCAACCAAAGAAGACACAGAGTTGTCTGAGAGAACCGAGAGAGAGAGCCAGCAGCAGAGAGAGAGGAAGTTGGGGTAAGAACTGAAATAAAACCCCATACCCCTCTGAGACCTCCGAGAAAGGAGGAAGATGATGAACTCTTACTTGAAAGAGTCTTGAAGTGCTACAGCACTGCAGAAAGGAGCTGTAAAGCTCAGAAGGAATGTGGAGGGGGTGACCTTGGCCCCCCTGCTGCCTGAGACAGAGCATGGAGCTCTGCAAAGGGGGCTTGAATCCCCTGAAGATACAGACCATCACGAAGACCCCTGAGCTTCGTGGTATGACCATGGTGAAACGACCATGTCCAGGTGAACGCAGCCCACGGAAGAGAAGACCTTCTCTTGGAGGTGAAGGGCCACGAGGGCTTGGATACCCCCTTGTGTGTACCCCCTTGTGCTGGCAGAGATCCCGCTACAGCTGCTGCAGAAGAGATGCCTGCTGCCTTAGAAACACTACTGCTCTGAGAGCGGAAAGGATCTTTTCCTTCTTCCCTCCTGGACTTTTATTTGGAGGGGAGAAGAGATTTGATCCATTGTAAATACTTTTATGTCATGGTAGAGATAGCTAAGATTGTATATAATGTATTGTAGTATTTATTTGTACAGTCATTGTAATATATTCCTTTTCCCCATTTTGAGTCTTGTGTGGTGTCTGGAAAAACCATCTCACACTGAGTTGAGATGTGGGAGGGGGTTTGGACTAGGGAATTGGATTTTGGGGTTCTCAAACCATGACAAATATAAATTCCTAGCAGTCTACAGATCAGAAGTTGCAATTTCTTATTTAGACTTCTTGAAATTATCCCATGAGACCACAACTCATATGTGTAGGTCTAATACCTCTGTGTAGAGCTCCAAACCTGGAAAATTCTTCTGTGTTGATCCCAATAGGCTCACAGGGCATGTAGCCACACACCAGGTACCTCCAGTCCTTCCTCTGGGGGATTGTGTGGTAAAAGCTGACTAAGTTATCTTTCACCAACCACTACTCACATAACCCCATAGATAATGCATGGTAAAATCAATAGGTACTGTGTCTTTAAATGAAGGTGAATAAATGTTTAGGCAATGAATCTAGTTTTAGATTGTCTTCTAAAGGGGGGCTGTTGATTTGTCACTGTTTGAAGGTTGGGTATTTGGTACGCAGAGAGGGTGAACTTACCACCCAGCACCCATCTCTGAGCAGACAGGGAATAAATATCTCTATCTATCTATCTATCTATCTATCTATCTATCTATCTATCTATCTATCTATCTATCTATCTATCTATCTATCTATCTATCTATCTATCTATCCTATCTCTCTATCTATCTATCTGTTTTCTTGCAGTCTGAATAGAACCCATATTTGGGACAACACTGACTGCAGTGGAGAAGCAGTTTCAAGGACTGTTCTCACACAAACACACTCCCCCCAGACATCACTGAGAAAAGAATTCCCATCTCAGCTCCATGCTGTTAGTCCAGCACTTTCATTTAAAGGTCATGGATGTAAAAGTCTTGAAATCCTCATTGGAGTAAAACAGCTTTACTTCCTACCAGTAAGGAGTTTTATCCTGTCCTTATCTGGCCTTATGTCTCTGCAGTAACCTTCTGACTTAAACTCCTTAGACTGAAATTGAAGAAACTAACAAAAATGTGGTATTTAAAAGAATTTAAAATGCAAAAAACTGCACATGTTCCTCTCCATTCTACAGTATATATGACTATATGTGCTTAAATTATATAAAGAAATATTAATTCTAAGAAGTATTTTTAAAGATTCCACAGGATGTTCAACAGAAACTGACAGAATAAACAAAAGCCTATATACCAGAGTGATGCAGATGCGCCTGAGCACAGCTGCATTAGCACGTAGACCCTTCCTTTCCAGTCTCATTAATAGTTCAGTCTTTCCACAGTGAATACATATTCTTGTGAGGCAAAGTGATGTGCCAGGGCCTCCTTTGAGGACTGGAATAGTAATATTCCCATTCAAAGTCTGGTCTAGTTTCTCAAGAGGAGAAAAGAAAAAGTGAGGTACCATGAAACTGAGTTGCCATCATGTCTTCAGAAACCTTCTCTTAGCCTTTGAGAGTGTGAAGAGGAAACTCTGCTGCACTGGGGGAATGGGTGTGAATGTCCTGTTTTTGCTATGGTCAGTTTAGCAATATCCACAGACACGCTGACTTAAAGTGACTTCCCGGCAGTATTAAATTACCCTTAATTTACTGCCTTATCCCAGTGGCTTACAAAAATACCTCCTTGGAATGGTTCCAAATATGCCAGAGATACTGGCCAGCCAAGTCTCCAAAATAGTCCTCAGTTAGCAACTTCCAAACCTCACACAAGAATCCAGTTGCGTCATTTGAACACTGTTCTACGTTCCCTTGATCAGTCATGACCTCCCTCTGAGGAGAAGTCTTTATCTTTTAAAATAAAATGTATAGGATCTCCAAACAAACAGAACCTGTCGCAGGAGAGGAGTCCCAGGCAAGTGGGAGAAATGCTGTTACTGCTTCTCCATAAACATTGACAACACATGGCTTTAGGCAGCATCAGTGCACCAATAGGAACATTTCTTGTACGCCATGCTGTCATTACCTTTGTGAAATCATCTGAAGGTTTGAGTTTGCTATGATCTAGGTGCCCTGCCACTGATAGATATGTAGCTAATGCCAGTACCTCGTGGCTTCCATAATACATAGTTGTGTTCTTGTCCCCCTCTGACCAGTTTACCTTATCATCCCTGCAACAAGTTTTGCTCCTATTTCAGCAGTGACAGATCACAGCCCAGCTTCTCCCTGTGGACTCATCAGGGAGCTGTGTTTGGAGGTGTGGTTGCTCTCCTGTGAACTGTGATAGCCAGTGCGCAGAGCTACCCCTCCTTTCCCTGCCTCTCCTACAAATATCTGCAACCTCTAATGGATGGCCAGGACAAGCAGAAAAGGGAAATAAGTAACTCTAAGTGCCACTGCTGGGGTCACAGCCCCAGCTTGGATGAGTCAGCACAGCCCTAGCTGTACCAGCTATGGGGCTAACTTTGCTTCTCCGTTTACAGACTGCAAGCCAAAGCATGAAGGAAAACTTCCCAAATGCTTACCATTATTAGAGAACGAGTGAAATAGCTAAATCTAAAGCTTTGTCTGAAAAGATGCAGCATGCATCCCCCTGTCCCCACTCCATGACGTTGAAGAAGTCTGGCAGCACTAGGACCATTTTGGAGACTCATCTGTTCAGGAGTGTGGCCTTTTACCTCCTGGCAGTACATCAGGTGTTGGTATGGCTAAAATATTTCAATTCTGCTACACAATGCTTGCAAACGTCCACTTAACCTTTAAGTAGTTCCACTAAATTTTAGGCAGTCTTGTAAATCTTTCTTCCCCTGATCAATTAAGGTTTGTTTGTTTACACCGACTTCTAGGAATGGGTCTTCACTGTACAAATGCATTCAAAGACATTTATGAATAAAGAGGGTGGTGGTTGTTTGTTGATTCTTGGCGCCAATATTTCAGTTACCTCATTAGGATGACCATTTGATCCACCAAATAAACAGACTGAGTGAATGCTGGAAACACAGGGTTTGAAATACATGCAAGACTGAGATTCATTTGCATATGGTGTGGTAGGAACAAAGCAAAAATCTATCTTAGTAGAAATCATTTTTTTCAGAAAAATACATAGATAGGCCAAAATAATTAGATATCTTATTCCCAACAAAGATTACAGTCACTGATGTGTTAATATTAAGCATCTTAATCACTGCTTAATGCTAAGAAGGAACATCTTATTGAATACTTGGGAAAATATGGATAATTTTTTTTTCTCCTGAAGTTTCCTAGCTCTTTTGGTCTCATCTTATGGAATGGGATGCTTCCTCACTGGTCTTCAGAGTGCAGGATACAGAGTAAGAGCCTTGGGGAACTTTAAAAGCTAATTTATATCTTCCCCTACAGACTCTTGTTAATGATAAAAAGCCTGTGCAAGAGATGATGTGCTCTGGTATTTCTTAGCTTGTTATAAGAGATCACATACACATATTGTTTCAGTGCTTTCTGAAGAGAAGTTTTCCTCATGCAACCTTAGGTTTTTCACAGTGAGGAGATTCACTAATCTACTTTCAATAAATTTTTTTTTGTTATTTAACTAAAATAAAATTCATTGTGTAAATATTTGTATATTGCAACTCCTACAGTTTTTGGAAAAATGTAAACTAGAAACAAAATAAGGAGACATTATGGGGTATTTCTTTATCAGAGTGCTAAATAAGCCTCCATAATTCTCAGTCTCCAGGCAAGAGCATAGTCAAACTGTCCTGTCTCCAGACCATCAAGTCCAACTGCCCAGGCTGTGGTTGGCATACTCTGGTACGGGTCAAGGAGAATTCAAAAGGAGCAAAAATCAGGATTCTCAAGAAAATAAATAGGAAAATCACAAAGGAAAAATGTTTTTTGTTCCAGGGTCATGCTAGAATTTAGTGTCTGTTCCCAGAGGGCACCAAAGAGGCAACGACTATGTCTCCATCCATCACTCAGGGAAGCTGAAACAAATAGTCCTCCCAAAGTTCACTCTTTTCATCATCATTTTACTGAGGTTAGAGTAGAAGCCATTTGGATGCACTTTGCTCTCTGTAGGGCAAGGGGGAAGCAATGTTCACTGTAAAAACAGCCCTTTTATTTATTTACTTCAGTACAACTCTCTCCCAGTGGAGAAAATTGGGATGGAAAAGAACTCAATAGCAGGTCTGCTTGTTCTGTGTCATATATGAGAGACCTGCTAGACATCCTGGCCCACTCTGTTGACAGTGCAGAACCCAGACACTGATACACGTCCCTAGGCTCTGAGCTGGCAGTAACCTCTCCCTACCTACCATGTAATTTGGACTGGGATAGAACATTTCTTTCCTGCAAGGAGGGAAATGAATGGTTTAATCACACTGCTGAAGTGGGTGGCACACAGAAGTGGCAAATTGCATGTCTTGCTGCAAGACAGGTGAGCTGCATTTGATGCTACTCTAAGCTGGGGGAGAGAGGTTTGAAAAACAAATGTAGGTATGGCTCTATACACAATGACCAAAAATGTTTTGATGTGGGATAGACCAGGATCTGCTGCAGGCCAGCAAAATCCACATGTCCTCATGATGGAAGGCAGCAACCATTCAGTGCCTGTAAGAAAAGGCATAAATAATTTGCGTTTGAAATGAGAGAAGATTTAGGAAGGCAGTCTGGAGTGAGTCAAGTAGTAATTTAGTTCAAGGTCAAATGTTTCCTCTTCTTACTTAAAATCAGAATCAGGCTTACAAACACAGCTAGCAAGAAAATATTTTTTATGTCACTAGCTCTGCCACATCACAGGAGTTGCCAGGATTTGGGATTGAATTTGGCTGTTTCTAGACAACAGAGCATATGCTGTGCTACCGGCTGCCTGGCATGTCTGCTCTCTTGACTGTCTGGATGTCTGTGTACCACTGCCTCCTCCTCCCTTGCACATTGGATTTTCCTTCCCGTGGGAAGGAGTCACTGCTGGGATGCCACAGCTTGGGCCTGGTCATTGGCACCTCTGGAATTACCTATAAAGTGTCCCCAGGAAAAGAAACGCTTCAAAACAGGTCGAAGGACAGGTCTGTTTCAGCTGAACAGTGTGTTAATGGCAAGAGGAAGGAAAATAAACAGAACATAATGCAGCAAACAGCATACACAGGTGAAACTTTCACAAGATCATAAGCACTCTGTCACTGGACTGTGTTTTCATTAGCATGCCTCAGTAAAAACAGGGTTTTTTACTGAGGATTAAGTAGATTAAGAAAGCACAGTCATACCAGAATATTGCCAAGATTGTTCTAAAAACTGTATCTTAAACAAAATAGAGAAAGCATTAAAGCAGCAAAAATATTTTAACTGCATGGCTATTACTGCCTGATTTAATTTATGTTGGAAAGAATAGAAAGATAAAAAATCTTCCACTCTGAAAAGAGCGTCTCAGCTACCAGCTGATAAATGCAGAGGGCTGACTAATAGAAAGAGCTAAAACTTCAGGAATAATTGGTTTCAGAAAGCTGACAGACTTTTTTTTTTTTTTGATGGAGTGATACCTGGTGAAGAAAACAATGAATTCTAGTGTTAAATAATGTTGTTATTAAAAAAAAAGAAGAAACACATAAACTGAGGCAGTGTCCCATTGTGGCAGTGATGCTACAGTGAAGGCCAAAAGTAGTGGTCCCCCATTCCAAAAGACCCCTGATATCCTCTCTGCAGAAAGCTTTTCAGCACACACATTATGTCACAGTCTTTAATGTTATTTAATGATATTCCCTCAGGTATGCACATATTTATACACAATTAAAAGTCTTTCCTAAAACTGCAGTCACACGAGATAATAACTGTGCTTGCTTTCACAGACCAGTGTTTTAGGAAAGATTTTCCTGACATTTTTTCTGGGCATTATCTGAACATAGTTAGCAGGCATGGGAGAAAAATGCACATGGAAAATCTGTGACTGCCAGAAAAGATCAGTTTTTGATAGCTCGCTTTAAATGGCGACACTTAGAATAGACAAAGGATTCAGTACACAGTATCTTTCTAGTTTTGAAGAAATTTGGTTTTAAAAAGATACATGTAATTAATTACTCAGCAAATGCAAGTTAGTAATTTTCCTTTTGGGGTCAGACTAAATATCTGAGGGGGATAATACCTATTTATACTGGTGTATCATCCCATCCATGTTGCTGCAACACAGCACAAACACTCTGAGACGCAGAAGCTCTGGAGCTGACCACTAGTTGCCATAAATTGCTCCAATATAATCAGAAGTACACACAGATTAACACTGGTGAGGAATTTGGAACTCAGGAAACTATTGAGACTGAACTGTGACATATACAATATATGTGTGCATGGATTCAAAGCAAATATTTTAATTAAAAACATTAACAATGAAACACCACATAGGGTGGCAGTGCCTAATTTATTGCTGTTTCTTGACAGATCTTTACACTGCACAATGATCTATGTAAATTACATAACAACAAATAGAAAAGCCTCTGAAACCAGCAAGTTCAAACTAGGAATCTGACCAGCAGAAAGCCATTGGAGGCACAGGGGCCTGCATCTTGCTAACTAAACACATGGTCAAATTTCCTGCTACTGCAGCACCTTATACAGTTCTGCTAACTTAATCACCATCTTGCCCACTTACATTTTTGACCTTTTAAAATTTGATTGATAAAAATTAAAATTAAGCAAAAAACACATCAAGTCGTGTAAACACACAAACCAAGATATTCTCTCTTTTTTAAGTCGTCACTCAAGGACTTTCTTTCGCCCTTCTTGTTCACTCAAAATTTAATGGCCTAATCTGTATGATCCTGTGACTTCACTGGGTGCTTCACAACATATACCTGATAATGTAGGTATCCTATATTAGTGGAGCAATTGGTTTTCCATTATGAAATATCTCATGGAATGTGACAAGCACACAGCTGTGCCAAGACCATGTGCATGATTTTCCTATACCACCCATACTAGTTTCACTGATTACTCACTTCCTCATCTACAAAAATACATGGCAAGTTTCTTCAGGCTCAAACATCTGTACACAAACTATTTGAGCAAAGATGTTTTCATTCGTTCACATCTCAGTTGCTGTGATTAACATTTTAAGCCTACATTAAATAAACAAAACTTGATTACAGAAAGTACCAGGCTAACAAATTAAATTACACATGCCCTTCTCTTGTGCTCAGCTGTATATTACATTCCTCCATACTGTATCCTGGACAGTTGGTTGCTGCACAGTCTACCTGGATATACTAACAATGTCCTTTTCACCTATGTCTCATCCTTTTCTTCTTATAAATTCAATATCAAGCTGACATTCCCCTTGTCCTGCAGACACATATCCTCTTCCTCTCTGAACAGCTTTTAAAGATGGATCTTTGTGTGCAAAAAGAACTTCTTTGAGCGCCATTCAGTTGTCGACATTGTTAAAGCAGGTTAAAGATGGGCTTAATTTTAACAATAAAACAATGCTAGAAAAGAGCTGTTCTCTTTTTTTGGTAGACCCTCTCCAATACCGTGGACCTCAATTTACTTAATGCACCATGAAACGTTTAAAATGCAAACTCCCCTTTAGTGTGTAAATGTGCACACACAATATTTTGAATTCATCTACGTAAGCTGTGTGAGGGTGATTTATACATAAAAAGAGTCAAAGGTATCCTAAAAGCTTAAATTACCCACTGCATTTGCTAATGTAATTGTAAGCTTTATGAGATACCTCTTGTGAAGATCTAACTGTGAAACTTCATTATATTTGCACCACTGAGGAATTTATGCAATGACTTGGAATATGCACCCAACAGGCTGTCCTGTCTCCTCTCTCTACACTCTTCTTTTAAAAATAGGGTGTGCAGATACACAGCCATCAGTATTGCAACCCTTTCCTACAGCAAATATCTTAAATGCATAGTAGTAACAAGATAACCAAAAACACTAAAGCTTTTAAAGCCCATAACCTGGCTAACATGCTTATAGGTTGATGAATCAGCAACTTAAAAACTTGTTATCTTACCAGTCATAAATCTTTACAAAACAATATTTGGAGCTCAAAATTACAAGGAATGGATTTTATGCCACCCTTTCTGGCATCATTAAAAGATGAACTACAATATACATTCCATAAAATCAACAGGGAATACACAACAATATAGTCAGTATACATTAATTTAATTATTGCTACTTTTAATCCTAATATCAATATTCCTGTTATTTAGGACATAATATACAGTCAGCCATATGCAATATAAAGGTTACAGTCTTATTAAATAAATGAAGAAAATTAAACAACTTCTGTGAAACAAATACCTTCATCTAGTTGAGAGGGAACTTGACCCATTTCCCGCTGGAGCAGTTGCAGGTAGTTACAGGTATCTTTAGTTTCCATTCTTCTGCACTTTCCTTGTGTTTCTAAATATAAAGGATCAGGGACTGCTGAAGAAAATGGTGAATATGCAAGTTCAAAAGCTGTGGTTTAAGGCTTAGAATTTTACACAAAAAAAACCTCCCCACGAACTTGATTGAAAATTCTATTTGTGTGTAAGAAGTAACTCACAATAATTTCTTTTTTTTTTTTTTTTAAATTTCAGCTCTGCCTCAGCACCTCTGCAGTAGATTCTGCTTGGCTGAGTACAGCAGCCACCTCTCAGCCTGTCTGAAATCTTCTTCAGCAGAACATTAACATTCAAAAGGTGTACCACATGATATTCCCATACCTTTGCAAAATCAGACCTAAATCTGCTAGTGCCTCTCTTTTAGTCTATTTTTAGTTGTCAATAATCTGAGTTTTTAACTGTAATTAACACAACTTTTTTCAGTGAATCTGAATACTGATTACAATTTGTGATCTTCAGCCAAATACCTTAATCCCTTACAGTGTTAAAAATCTAGTGGATTATATGAGTGCAGTAGTGTATTTTCTTTAGAAAATAAACTGACTATGCAATGGGAGAGGTGTAGTCAGTAACATTTGCTGCTTCACTTCTGAACTCCTATCTAGGTA